GAATCGGGGGGGGGGGGGATTAAACTCTGCTCAGACACAGAAATTCTGCAAAACAGCGAGAAGGGGGATGAGTACCAACTCCAAAGCACAAATTCATGCCTTGGAGAGCCTGGGCCAGACCCAGGGGGGCTCTAAGCCATCACCATCGCACTGATTGCCCCAATCAGACCCAGTTAAAGCCCCAGTGGGGCTCTTCTGGGAGCTCGCCTGCGTCAGAGCGCTGCTGCCGGCAAAATGCCCGTGGCCGCCCGCATAGCGAAGGCAATGCTTGGCCTGGGTCCCAGACCCTGTCTGAAGTCCTTCCTGAGCCAGCTCCTGCATGGCCACAGCCCTGTACCATGCAGGGCTGATGGAACCAGAGGATTTTGGACTGGGAAAGCAGCAGCCCCAGCTTGAGCCTTCAAGAGGGACATGAGAGAGGAGGTGTGGGGCCTGCCGACTGCCAGGACACCCACACCGGGGCAAGTGATGGAAGACGAAGGAGGAGGAGGAGGAGTTCTCCTTCCTCCTATTCTCCTCCTCATTAAATAAAAGACCTACCCGCAGCTGTTCTGGAAACATTTTCTCAGACTGCCAGAGCAGCAGGGACTGCTCACAGGGACTCTGCACCGATGCTTAGTGCTGCTTTGGGAAAAGCCCCTTGGATTTCACACCAGCTGCAGCTGGGAGGCAGTGAGGACAGTACATGGACTGCATGCCATATGCAGAGCCCTCACCCAGAAGCTGCTACCAATTCTTAGAGATGTGGGAAGACATGGGGACAGTCCCCCATGGGCTCTCACCCAGGGAACCCCACAGCTCTGCCCTGCAGAAGACTTTTGCAAGGAGGGAAAAGTTTCCAGCTCTTTTGGCTCCGTGCTGCTTATCCAGCAGTTGATGAAGGGTCCTGTTCCACCTGCTGAGAGAGGCCATGGGGGCTCCGTGGCAGCATAGGAAGGCTGAGGGGGGCCCGGGTTCTCCCCATGGGCAGAGAAGTCTCTGTGGGGCAGCCAGACAGGACAGGATTACCTCACTGCCAGGTCCCTGCCAGAGGTCCTTGAGCTGGGGAGCTAGGTTAGGTCTGGAATGCAACCCATCACAGGTGTTTTATCTTTGTAGCCCAGGACTAGACATGGTCTTGGAGCAGCCCCTTGCACCCGGCCAAGGGGCAGGAGGAGCAGCAGAAGCCGGGGTAGGAGTGTACTGTGGCAGGGAGGGGGCACAACCACAGTGAGACCTGTTGGGACCCTGGATGGTCCCAGGCTGCTGCCTGCCGTGGCAGCTGGGGTGACTCCAGGTGTCAAAGCAAAGCTGAGGTTCATCCCTCATGGCATCACACTGTGCTGACGGTTGTGGGTGCCCTGAGGGAGGTCAGGGGAGGGAGGTCAGGGGCTTTCCCCCATCCTCACGCCAGACCAGGTCAGCTCGCAACAGTGGGTCTTCCTGCTGAAAGCCAGGTGTGCAGAGGCTGTCCCATGCCCAGGTGTCCCCATCCCTCCTAGCCCCCCTGGCTGCCCAGAACCACCAACCAGACCCCCTGCTGCCCCTTCCCCTCCCCATGCAAAGTGTTTACACTTTGCCTAAGGGATGAAGCAGCATTTCCTAAAGCAAAGCAGCTATATTTATCAGCCACGAAGCAGTTCCCTGGCAGCAGCCCCTGGCTCACCTCTCGGAGGGTGGCCAGCAGCCCCCAAAAGACTCACCGCCTTCCAGTGGGAGCTCCTGTGCTGGTCTTCCATGTCCCCAGCGCTGGCGTTCCCCTCCATCCCTGGGTGGCAAATGCAGAGAAACGTGAGTGTTAGCACCACAGGAGCCCAGGGCTGAGCCCAGCACCACCAGCCCCATCAGAAGTGCCACGATGCCTCGGCTCTCCAGGACCCACAGGCACAGCTCCCTCCCTAACACAGCTCCCCAGCCCTGCAGCACCCCCCAAAAAGGCTGAGTGAGCACGGCTGCATCAAGACCTTTGCCTGTCTGCAGGGAACCATGCTGCTTCCCCTCCCTACCCTGCAGGACTTCAGTGTTCAGAAGTGGATCAAAAAATAACTTGCTTTCCTAAGAGGGGTGAGCTCAACGCAACAGGATCCCATCCCAAGCCCCCTGGCATCTGGTGCCCTTTGCAGCACCCTCGCAGCATCCTGCCCCGCGCCCGAGTTCCCATCAGTGCCAGGCAGCGCCCTACATGGGGAAGCCGGGCTCTCTGCCCCAGGGAGATCGTGTAACTGTTAATAAACATTAGCAAATTGCTAGGGCTTTTGGTGGCTGCATGCGTCTGTCAAGATGTGCTTGTCAGTCACAGCAGGGCCGTGGTTAATGCTTGCAAAATCTCTTTTGCAGTGAAGGGGTAGTGCAAGGGGCAGATCTATATTTATTCCTTCGAACTGAGACAACAGCTAGGAGCACTCAGCATCAGCTTCCCCATCCCAGCTCTAAGAGCCGGCCACCGCCACGGGAGAAAAACCCAGAGGGACATTTTGCTGTAACATCCTGCAGACTGGGGCCAGGTACTACCAGATCTTCTCCCACCAGTGAATTACAGGCACAAGATGGTGCATTAGGGCGTGTGTGCTGGAGTCCTGCTGCTGCGAGGGGCTGGGAGTGCAGGAGGCAGCGGGGGGACAGGGCACTGGTATCAGGCCAGCCTCACCAAAACCCCACACGTGCAGCAGTGCCTGGAACGGCTCCAGCAGTGTGATGGCAGCATGCAAGGGCTGCCTGTCCCTGGCTGTGCCCCATCCAGCTCTGGAGGAACAGTGGGGCTTGTTTTACACCATCTGTCCTAGCAGGAGCTCAGCACCATCCACCAGCTCATTTTCTTGGCACATTCCCAATGGGGCCGGCAACCTGGGAGAGCCAGCCCCTGTTCAATTGTGGGGAAAGGCTGTCTTGCCTCAAGCATGGGGACATTGGTCCAGGGCTCCCACAGGGCTGCACTGCACCGTCCAAGCAGGCAAAGCACCATTTCTCCCTTTCCTCTCCTGAGCATGGCTGAAAGCCACTCACCGGCTGTGCTAATAAATGGGCGCAGTGGGAAAGAAAGAGGTCTGGCAGCTGCCTCGGTCTGTGCCGAGTTGGCCAGGGCTGCTGCATGCCTGTGTCGGGTATGCAGGCAGGGCTGGCTCGGTCCCGGTGCCTGCCCAGGCTCGGCAGGAGGGCAGGCGGGCAGCCATGCCCACAGCCGACTCTCCCTGGCCAGGCTGGAGCCTCAGGACCGGAGCGTTTCCTATCCAAAGCTGGTGAGCTGGGATGAGACACAGGGATTTAACGCGGCCTGGGTCACTGGGGGGTACCAGCAGCTTCCCAGGGGCACATGCGCCCCGTCACAGCGGTTGTGCTGCCACACAGCCCGGCCCTGGCAGGAGCAGAGGAGGCAGCCAAGACCCATCCCCTCCATCGCTGGGATGGAGTGGGGGCAACTGAGCAGGAGGGGTCAGTGCCAGCCCTGCTGCCAGGCGAGGCACAGACAGTGAGCACTGGGCTCCTCTAGTTCATCCGAGGTAAATAACGGCTGTTTTCTCTGGAGGTGATGCATTCTTTGTCATTAATTGATCTGGGCATTTGTAACTTGCCTCTTGCACCGCTGTCAGTGTACGCCTTCTCTTTTCTCCCGGGAGAAGCTGGTAATTAGGCTCTTATCCAACGAAAGTGTGGGGTTTTTTGAAGCAGAGATAGGATTAGTTTCTTTTAACTTGATGAAATATGCTTTGGCTTGAAATAATTACATGATTTGCACTTAGCACCTCTCAGCCCAGGGCATTAAAGTGATTTACAAGCAATTATGAAGCCTGATGGGAAGATGCTTTTATCCCCATTTTACAGACACAATACGGAAAACAGAGGTTGTCCCAGTTGCTCGGCCGGCGATGCGGGGAGCCCCTGGGCTCTCCTGGGAGCGCTGCCTCCGTGGGGCG